GAGGACAGAACTCCGAGTAGCTGACGCAGCTCGCGCCCTCAGTCGGGGACAAGGGCGGCCGCCCCCTCCGCTCGTCTCCTCGCTCGCTAAATCCGTCCTGCTTCCGTCTGCTCCGGGCCTCCCACTCGCTGCGCCACAGCCCGGCCGCCGCCGTCCTCCACCCACGCCAGCCCACCCGCCCTCGCGCCGGCTGGGAGGGCCAACCAGGCCACGCAGCCAGCAGGCCTCACGCCTCAGAGCAGCCCCGGCCTCAGCCTCACACTTCCAGGTGCCCGGGGGTTGGGGGGGGTGCCCTGAGGGGGAGCCCAGTGCTGACCTCCCTGCCCCGGGCTCTGGAGTCAGACAAGCGCGTGCTCTGGTCGCAGCTCTGCCACTCAGACCTGCGAGGTCAGCCCCCGGAGCCGCCTGCAGGGCGCAGCCGGTCTCTGCTGGAGGGGCTGTGAGAGACTCAGGGAGAGGAAGGCCCGGTGCCGCTCCGAACAGGGCGGTGCAGAGCCCCTTCAGCCAGCTGGGGCGCAGCCCCCCCCCCCCCCCATCCAGACAGTTCACGTTGCCGAGAGCAGACTGGAGTGCAGCCCGGACCCAGAGGCTACTCGTTTTCACGGCCCTGCAAGGAGGGGTCCCACGCCGACTCTGCAAACACGGACACGAGCCCCAGGGCGGCGGGGTGCCTGCCGGACCCCAGACCACAGGCCAGCCCACAGCCAGGCCAAGGGAGCAGCGGCCAGCGCTCCCCCCTCAGGTACCACAGAGGCTCGCGCTCCCCCCCAGCAGCGCGGATACTCGGCAGTGCACCCTGCCCATCCCCGGTGCGGGCCGAAGTCTCCAGGCGCACTGGCAAGCAGGTTTTGTAGAAAAGTCACAGCTCACTGTTACACCTCAGTTCACTGACCCTAATTCTAAAATGGTCACAGCAGCAGAAAACCAGTCAGCCAGGCAAAAGAATAACAACAGGATAAACGGCAGCAGGTCCGCCACGTGCTCAGGGCCGCACACTCACGGCACCTCCCTCCGCGTGGAACCCCAACAACACTCTGACGCGGGAACTGACTTCTGTTTTCTAGACGAGACACTGAGGCCCAAAGACCCAAGCCCTGCACCACTTCTGCACCCCTGCGAGCTCCCCGGCCCCCCACTCATGGCCTCCCCCAGACCCCCCCACTCACTGCCCCACCCAGACCCTCCCACTCACGGCCCCACCCAGACCCCCCCACTCACGGCCCCACCCAGACTCCCCCCACTCACGGCCCCACCCAGACCCCCCCCACCCACTGCCCCACCCAGCCCCCCCCCCACTGCCCCACCCAGACGGCACGCGCAGTGGGCATCCACACCCACCGGCACTCAGCACAGGGTGCAAAAACCACTCCAGGAATTTTGAGCAGGGAGGGACTTGACTTAAGGAAGTGGGTGGTTTCCAGACAGCCGCAAGGGCTCTGCACGGGCCCCCAGGACAGGCCCCCTGAACCGGTGCCCCGGGGAGCCGCCATGTCGGCGCTGCCTCTGGGACGAAGGGAGTCCAGCGTGCAGCAGGGCAGGAAGCCGCCACCGCCGTCACCCACAGGCCTGCTCCCTCGGCCACTGGGGCCCTCACCACCTCCATGCCCTTACTCCTTGACAAGCCCCCCCCCCCACTGTTGGGAACCACCCTGCCTGGTTTCAGGAGCTGTAACCCCCCAAGGCTAAGGCTGAGGGAGCGACCTTCAGACCATAAGCCACTTAGGAGACGAAGCTTATCTCCCTGGCAGGAGCACCGCCTCTGCCCACGTTACTTCACCCTGCCTGGCCCCCAACGCATGACTGGTTAGCCAATGACGGGTATGACTCCTCAAGGAGGGTACGACCTAAGACAGGCATGGCCATGGAGGGGCCCTCAAGGAAGGACTTGGGGGGCTACAGCAAAAGGGGGTGATGGACCCTCGCCCCCTCAGCTTCGACATAGCCTGAATCCTCACTCTGTCTGCGAGAAAATCTCCTAATCCCTTGGCTGCCTTACTTCCCCTGCCTGACTTAAGCCTGAAACAGTGACAGAGGGAGGTGCAGCCCTGTGCTGGAAAGGGCGGGTTCCCCAGGAGATCAGGCCTGGGAAAGAATATGTAAGATCCTGTGGAACCTGCTTTGTTTAGAGTGCTCTCAATTAAATGATAAGGGTCTTGTAACAGGGTGCAGCCAAGAGGGGAGCCTAAATGGCTCCACACCAGAGGGCCACACCTGCCCAGAATCTGGCAGCTGTAGCCAATTGTGAGAGGAGCCGGCAATGGGGCTGCAGAGGAAGATTGGCGCTGGGATTTAAACTGCGACTCGGCAGCCATTGGAGGGGGAGAACCATGCGCAGCCCTGCGAGAGAGAACCACGCGGCTCTGGCAGAGTGGGGACTCCCGTGGTCCGGGGAGAGAGGACCACGTGCCTTTGCCAGAGTAAGGACCCCCGCAGCTTTAGGTGATACGGTACTCTGGAGTGGGCAAAGGGGGAAGGAAGGACTGTGTCTGTTTGTGGGTGGTTTAAGGGACTTTAGGATTTTTGGCGAAGACATTAGGTCCCTACTTTAAGTCTGTATAGCATTAAATAAACGTTTCCTTTCCTTTTCACAAATCTCTGGGGTTGAGAGATGTCTTTCCTCTGGCGGTGGACATAACGGACCTGGGGGCTTCTTTCAGTAATAGTGTATCGTCCCAGGCCCCCTCGTTTGTTCTGTAACAGTCTGGGCAGGAAAAGAGTTTGTTTCCCACAGTTTTGTAGCCCTTTAGCTATCTGACCCTGACTCAGAACAGGCCCCAGTAGTTCTCTGAATGTTACCCATGTTTGGTCCTCACTGCCTGACACCGACGGATGAGCTTCACCTGCGTTCCTGTGCGACCTGGACTCAATGAAAGCCCACTGAGGAACAGGCTCCCGGCCCTTCTGCTTTGAGAGATCGGCCACCCTTCCTCCCCCAGCAGGTCCTGTCTTGGTAGACGGATTCTCTTTCGAGGCAGCCAGGGGGGCCCTGCAGGTGGAGCCCCCCCACACCCCAAAGACTCCCACGCTGCCTCTTACCCCCCAGCACCGGGCCCGGTGCGCCCCTGGGCTCGGGGGGTGAACGGAGAAGCAGGGTGACTCAGAGGCCTGGCTGGGGCCCCCAGAGACCTGCCCCCAGTCCCCCGAGCACCTACTGTGCGCCAGGCCCTCGCTGTGACACCCCTGTGATTCTCCCGTAAAATGTGCAGTAGGTTCCAAACGTTTTTGGCACAATGCCCTTTCCGCTTCGAGGGAATTCTAGATTGAAACCCTGGTCCTGGCTGGTGTGGCTCGGTGGACTGAGCGCCGGCCTGCGAACCGGAAGGTTGCTGTTTGATCCCAGGTCAAGGCACACGCCTGGGCTGTGGGCCAGGTCCCCAGTTGGGGGCGTGTGAGAGGCAACCGATTGATATTTCTCTGGCACATCGATGTTTCTCTCCTTCTCTTTCTCTCTCCCTCCCGCTCTCTAAAAATAAGTAAAATATTTAGAGGCAAAAAGTTCTTCTCTAACACTTTAAGATCCTGACAGAAGAAACTCACCAGACTTGGCCTGTGATACCACGTATTTGACACGTTTGTCATTACTGCCCCTGGCCCCCAGAGGAACTTAACGATGGCTCGCAACAGTGTCACCGCCGCCGAGACGAGGGCACGGACACGGAAGCGAAGACTATGTGACTTCTGGCGCACGAAGCAGGAAGGGTGTTCCAGAGGCAGCGGCCGTAGGGGAGACCCGCAGGAGTGGACGGGCCCCTCGCGCAGGAGAAGAGGCCCCACCACAGACCGGGAGGGGAACCACCGCGGGGCGAGACCCGCTCCGCCCGGGCCACCTGCTCCCCAGGGGCACAGGGAGAAGGCCTCCCCACGCCCACCGCGCGGCGACGAGGGCGGCGGGGCCGAGGACACGGGGACGCACGGGCACGCGTGTGACCGCTCCCCGACACTTTCAGAGAGGGGACGCCAGTTCCGAGGTGCAGTCGCCCACGCAGGGACGCACAGCCAGGGCGCGGGTATGGGATCTGGAACCCCGCAACCAAGCTCTCTCCTCGCTGCGGCTCCTCGGCCACCCTCCTTCGGAGCGAGGTTTCCCAAACTTGCCGAGAGCCCCGAGGGGCCGTGGATACCCGTCCCCCAGGCCCCCCGCGGCGACCCCGATTCTGGAGCCCCGGGCCAGGCCCTCTGAAGGGCGGCTGCGGGGCCGCTGGACACTCCCCGCACGCCCTCTCCACGGCCGCGCCCCCCTCGCAGCAGGTGGCGGTTGGGGGCCTCCCGCTCGCTCGTGGGACTGACTCTTGTACCCGCTTCGCCGCCCAGCCCGGACGCCCACCAGTCCCCGCCTGCGACCACTGGCGCCGCCTGCGGCACCTGCACCCCCTGCCAAGGGCCGCGCCTGGGACACACACACACACACACACACACACACTGGCCGAGCGACAGCGCACAAGCACAGACAAGGGGCCGATGCTGCGGGAGCCATCCCCACGGGGACCCCCGCGGCCCTGGTGTGGCGCCTGGGTGACAGGGTGCACGGTCTGCTTGGTCCCGACACACATGACGGCACACACCCCCGCAGTGAGGCCGGGGCCAGGACCCGACACAGGCACGCAGCCGCGCAGGAGCGCAGGGCACGCGACCGGGGGCTCCCGGGACGCCAGCCCTGAGCTGTGCGGACAGGGGCTGGAGTGGGAAGCGTGGGCGACCCCGCCAGTCCCCGGCCTCCTCAGCACCACGCTGACACGGACCACCTGTGAGGCCCCCTCAGCTGCAGCGGGTCCGAGGCCGGGAGGTGACGACAGGCTGTGCTTGACAGCCGGGGACACAGGGGTGACAGCCGACCGCCCGGGCCCACGCAGCACCCGGCCGCGCTCTGGGCAGGGCCTGCTCCACGGGCAGGGGACACACAGTGACACCCGCGAGGCGCCGAGGACAACGGAGCCGGTCTGCAGCCCACGGCCCGCTCCCCCGCCCCCCCACCCGGGGACACACAGAGGCGACTGCGTTACCTGGAGAAGAAGTTGCTGAAGGGCCCCAGCAGCTTCAGTTTACTTCCCTCCGCACCTCCGTCCGCCTGGCCCTGCTGGGGCCGGTCCCGGGCGCTTTCCCCGGCGGAGCTCAGGGTGACGTCGGTGAACCGCGGGTCGTCACCGTCGTCGTTCTCCAGGGTCACGATGGCGCTGGAGCTGCTGGTGACCACAAGGTCCAGGATGTCCTCGTTGCTGACGGACAGCGTGGCGGACAGCTCGGTGCTGAGGCTGGACACGCTGCCCACGGACACATCGTCGCTGCGGCTCAGGGCCCTGGCCGTGGGGCTGTGGGGCGTCGCCGCGTCGTAGCCCGTCCGGGGGAACGTGGAGGACTTCCGCACGCCGGGGCCCCGCTCGGCGCTGGCGGGCGCCGGGGGCGCGCAGGAGGGCAGCGGGCAGGCGCTCTGGCAGGCCCGCTCGGGGGCCGTCTCCGCCTCGGGCTGCTGCCGCCGCCTCACGCGGGCCACGCCGCAGGCCACGGGCTCGGGGTCGCCGATCTCGAGGGTGGGGATGCCCGAGTCCGCCGACTGCAGGCTGCGCTGGTCCGGCGCCCCGGGGCTCGGCCTGGGCCCGCGCTCGGACGGCGACAGGGGGCTGGGGGCCTTGAGGTTCGCGCGCTGCAGGCTCTGGAGGTGGGTTCCGGGCGGACTGTCCAGGATGCCCATCAGGGCCACGCCGTTCGCGGGGCTGGAGAGGCTCCCATCGGTCATCTTGGTCCGAGGAGAAACTAGGGGAAACACCACAGCGGGAATTAAGGCCTCGGAGGGGAAGGCCGACGCCGCCACTCCGCCGGCGCACAGCTCCAGTGGCCCGACCCTTCCTGAAGAAGGAGTCCCGGGAAAAAGAAGTCCTGCGTACCCAAGTGTTCGTTCGGGACCAGCGGCTAGAGATCTGACGTGAGTTACCACGACATCAAGTGCCAGGATGATAACTCGAACAAAGGACACATGTAGGGTAAAGATACATAAGATAGTCACCTCCGCCACCTCGTGGCCACCCACCGGTCACACCTGCAGGCCCCAGGGCAGCACCGGCAGCGGCAGGAGGACGGGCCAGGCAGATCGGGCGTCTCCGTGGGGCGCAGACAGGCCACCTCTGCTGAAGGCACGTGGACTCCTAACCCGCACGCGGGCCGGGGTTCTGCCTGCCCCGAGGCAGCGGGCCCACCCCACCGCCCCTGCCCGGGCCGGGCGCTCGGAGGGCCGGGGTTGCGTCCGGTGCCCCGAAACGGGCAGGTGTGACTCCAGGTCAGGGCAGGTGCCTCACCTGCGGGTTCAGTCCCTGGAGACAACCAACAGTGTTCCTTTCTCACCCCCCCCAAGCCCCCTTCTCCCTCTAAAATCAATAAACACATCCTCAGGTGAGGTTTTCTAAAAACAATCAAGTTGTTTTTTTGTTTTTGTTTTTTTAGATTTTATTTATTTATTCTTAGAGAGGGAAGGGAGGGAGATAGAGAGAGAGAAACATCAATGTGCGGTTGCTGGGGGTCATGGCCCACAACCCAGGCCTGTGCCCTGACTGGGAATCGAACCTGCAACACTTTGGCTCGCAGCCCGAGCTCAATCCACTGAGCTACGGCAGCCAGGGCTCAAGTTGTTTGTAAAACAAGATCAAGGGGACACGCCCCATGCAGCCAGAGGACCCCGGTCACAGCCCCGCTGGCAGTGGCCCTCCACAAAGGTGCCGTCGCCTGGCTCAGGCCTGAGAGGCGAGGCACAGCGCCCCCTCGCCACAGGAGAACCCACGTGCACAGAGGTTCAGAGCCAGGCCTGGCCGACACCACACAGTTACCCAGGGCAGGGCTGGGGTCTGCGGGCTGAGCCCCGTGCAGGCCACACCTAGTGGGCGAACGGCTTCGTGCGGGGTCAGAAAAGCCCAGGTCAGAAGACTGGCTCGGTGGGGACGGACAAGCCACACGGGAAAAAGACAGACCACGGGCCCACGATGCAGACGGAGTGAGAAGTCGAAGCAGCCGGTGACACACGCACACGCACACACACGCACACCCCCCAGGGCCCGGCCTGCCGTCCTCTGGCTGAAGGCTGCGGTGGGGAGGAGGGGCAGGAGGGGCACCAGTTTGGACAGCACAGTGTCCAGAGGACTGAGGGCCCTGGCATCAGCGATGTCACCCTCTACTGTCCTTTAAAGTGTCAAAACTAAAGGGGTCTGGCGGTGCACTTACATCTGAGCTGTGCACCGAGCACAGGCGAGGACGGGGAATCCCAGCCCCCCCCGCCCCCCCGCACGGCCTCAGGGGAGTGAGTGCCCTGCGGGAAGAGGAGAGAGGGGCGCTCCTGCACCCGGGCCCCCACAGCGCTCTGTGGGCAGCGGCCGCGATCGAACAGAAAGTCCAGAAGGTTCTGAAGCAGGGCCGCCACCGCGCCCTTCTGATAACGACGCCCTCCCGGGTGTTCATTCAACTTTCGTACAGAGCCTTCCCGCTCCCCTTGCAGAGGCCTGGCCGCCTCTCACCGTCGGCGCGGCCGACACCGCCAACACCGCGGAGCCGGCTCAGCAAGAGCAGGACAGGGGGGAGGGGTTCATCGCCCTCCCTCCCCGAACTCCAAGGAACCAGGGAGCGCAGCCCCACGCAACAACAGTTGCGAAGGAAGGAGCGGAAAGGCAGGATTCAGGGAGAGGCGGAACCACACGCAGACCCTGCGACGCAGCCCCGCGAGGGACAGAGGGTTGTCTGACCACCACGCTCCGCTCCTCGGTCGCCGGTGGTTTCTCTCGGGAGGCGGAACCTCGCGCGCTGCCCCGGAACAAACCTGCCGGCACAAACCTGCCGGCACAAACCTGCCGGCACGGTCAGAGCCCCACACACAAACGAGAGGGCAGCGCGGCTCTGTGAAAGGCCTTCGCGGGAAAGAGCGCGCTCTCTGGGCACCGACGCCGGCGTGGGCACCGCGGGGCAGGGAGGGCTGGAGGTGGGGACAGGGGAGATAAATGGTGAAGCAAAAAACAACTAACTAAAAACAAACAAACAAATAAATAAAAGGCACAGCGCGAAAACTCGGTTCACCCCCGGGGAGTGCCTGAGCACCGCTCACACAGGTGAGCACCTTCTCACACAGGTGAGCACCTTCTCAGCGCTGGGGCGGCTCGCCCTGCCCTGAGCCCCCGGGCTGCAGCCTCCCCGGGGCCTGGCGGGTCCCGAGCAAGGCCGCAGCAGTCCGTGTCTGGGGCCCTGCTCTGGGAGGTCTCGGAGCTGAGCCGGGGCGGTGAAACACAGGGTTCACGTGAGGAAGACACAGGGAGTCAGACTTGGACAAACCTGAAAGTTCTACTTTTTTATTTTAATTAAAAGGAATACACAGGTAAGAGATCATCTCTGGAGACGTCAAAGGTAAGCAGAAGCATCCAAGCACCACCAGCGCTCCGATGGGTCAGTGGCACGAAGCCTGAACTCCGGAGGGCGGGACGCGGACAGGCCTGGCTGAAACCCTTGCTCTGCCACCGACCAGCTGAGGCGACCTGGGGGGACAGGACCCCTGAGCCTCAACTCCCCTCCCCCCAGCAGGGGACCGGGGCCGCCCCTGAAATCCCAGGGGGGCCTGAGGGCAACGAGAGGAGCAGGTCCGGGGAGAGCAGCAGGTACCCAGTGAACGGGAACTTCCTCTACTTGAGCCACGTTAAAAGCTCAAGCACCCGCAAAAAAATGAACTGAAATGCCACGGTGACAGGAATGCGTAACAAGTGCGCTAAGTGAACCCAGGGACCCCTCTCCGAGTCACCTGACGGAGCACCAGCACCTGGAAGGACGGTGGGCGTGGCCTCGCAGGGCCGCCGGGAGCAGCCCCGGGGCGTCCGCTAAGGGAGCTGCTGAGCCCCGGCGAGGCCTCCGCGCACTCCAAGCCCAGTTCAGGTTCCTTGAGCTGCAGGAACAGGGCGTTCCTTCAGGAAAACAAACCCAAAAGGGAAAAAGCACTTCCACTTGCAACACGCCCTGAAACCAAAATCTGCAAGGGCCAAGGCCACCTGTCCTCAAACCCTGCCCCGTGGCGTCCCCAGTCCTGTGGAACCAGAAACCGCACCCCGGAGAACAAGAGCCTTCCGGGTGCCCTGCCGGGGCGGCGGCACACGGCACCTGCGGACACGGGCTGCGGGGCGGCCTCTGGGAGCCGGCCAGGAGGCCAACTGCCGGTGGCCGGCCTCCAAGTCCCAGGTCTCCCGAAGACAGAACAAGCCCCAAGGCCCCGAGCTGGCACAGGGCGCTCCCGCCCCGCCCCGCCCCTGCCTGCCTCCCCAGCCTCACACCGTCCCTCTGGCTCTCCCGGCACCCAGGACTGCCGCACCATGCCTGGGGCGCTCCCAGCGGGGCCCTCAGCACCCCCCGAGATCCGGTAGCAGGTGCCACCAGGAGGCACAGCACACTCCCAAGGCCACCTCCTCCGAGAAGCCTTCCTACGTCTCCCAGGAAGCGGCAGGCCCTCCTCCCTGCTGGCCTCCTCTCGGCTACACCCCACCTAAGACAACTGTGTGCACAGCTGTCCCCGTGTCTCCCGGTACTGGCCTCCAAGGTCCAGGCAGACACAGCACTGACAGCGCCCGGACACCACTGCCTGGACACACGCCCGGCACGGATTAAGGACTGGCAAAGCCATTTGCTGAATGCATCACTACTAACAGCTACGTTCTAAGTGGGCAGGTTTCAGGTGCGCTCGATCCAAGAAACGCCTGCCGAGAACTGGGTCATGCTCCCAACACAAGGCCAGCAGTGGGAGCAGCATCGGGACGAGGAAGAGACCCTGTCCCGTGGAGCCCCTGGCAGGCGAGCGCACGGCAGACAGGGCCGGCCGGGGAGCAGCGGACGCCCCGTGCCTCCCGTCTGCCACCAGGCCAGCCAGCAGGGAGCGCCGCCAGCGGGGCGGGGAAGTGAAACACCACACGGCGTCTCCCCAAGGCCACAGCACTACGGCCCGGGGACACGAGCCGCAGCCGCCGCAGCCGCGGCCACCACAGGGCACACCCTCAGGCTCTCGGGCACAGCCCGGCAGCAGCCGTGCAGACAGACGCTCCATATCCATAGAAGCGTGAAGACGGCCGGCCACCGGCTCCCGGACCAGAGAAACACCCCGGCCGTCAAGGACGGAAAAGACGACGACGGTGTCCATCTCGGGTGGCAAGGCCACCTGAGTTTTACCTGCCGCCACAGAGCAGAGCTCTGGGGCGCGTCCTGGGGTGCTGCAGGCCAGAGGGCGGACAGCGGCTCCGACCCGTGGGCCTGAACGGGGCTGGACAACAGCTCCATCTCGAAGCAAAGCTTTCCTTTTCTCCTCCTTAAAAACCAACAGGACGGAGTCTTGACTACGCCTTCACGGACAACAGAGTTTATGAAGCCAGAACCAAATGACTCCGTTCTGACCCCGGGCGGGGAAACACACTCGCTGGCGACTTCGGGGAGCAGTCGCGCCGCCCGCCCACGCAGACGCCCCGGGCTCCTTCCCGCCCACGACGCAGCCCTCCGAGTCCGCAGCCCCGGAGTCCGGCTGCGCTCCGGAGACTGCACGGGAGAGCCCCCCCCCTCGGGCCCCACCGGCACAGGAACGGGGCGCGGCTGCTCCCCCCACCCCCGGAGGCTGCGGGTGCTCACCTGCGCTGCCGCACGGCCCATCAACCCAGCTCCACGCTCCTTCTCCTCTCCCGAGCGGAGTGCATGGGGACCTGTGACACATGCCCTGCGGACGGTGCGTCCCCTGTGGACAGTGTGTCCCCTGTGCACGAGCCAGCCCCCATCTTCCTTTCTGTCACCCAGGTTCCCAGAAAGAAGGGCCGGGCCAGGCAGGGCTCAAGTGCCTCGGCATCAACAATTAACGACAGCAGCTGCCTCCGCTCGCCAAGCGCGCGCGGCACGCCGGGCACTGGGCTCCCCGCTCAGTGTCCACGCCCACCCGCTGTGTGCCCTCGGCAGCGGCCCCGTCACCACCAACGGGGATGCACAGACACGAGTTAGAGGCCCGGAGGGCGCGTGTGACAAAGCGGTGGTGCCGGGGCTGACCTGGCGCTGAGGCGCTTTCTCTTCGCATGGTTTGCACAAGGGCCTGAAACAGTGGGCTAATCTGCATTTTGTAGAATGAGAAGTCAACTATAAAAGTAGTCTAGTTTTTAAGTGGGTTATTCTTTCTTTTTTTTAAGTATCAATCTTTTTTTAAAGATTATATTTATTTATTTTTAGAGAGGGAAGGGAGGGAAATAGAGAGAGAGAGAAACATCAATGTGTGGCTGCTGAGGGTCGTGGCCTGCAACCCAGGTATGTGCCCTGACTGGGAATCGAACCTGCAACGCTTTGGTTCGCAGCCCAAGCTCAATCCACTGAGCTACGCCAGCCAGGTAAGTGGGTTATTCTTTACGATAAAAAAAAAACCCTTAAAAAAAAAAAGAATTTCTTAGGAGTTCCATATACTCCTCTGGAGGGTGAACGGCAACTTTCAGGCACCTGGAACTTAACACAATGTTGTTTAAATAGGTTTTGGTCCATCAGCAAACCGGGCAGAAACTGGGGCTAAACTGCCAAAGGTCCCGAAAGGCTCCTTCGCAAGCCTGCGGGACAGACTCTGAAGTCACACTGCCCAAAGGTAGTCATGCTGAAAAGGCATGGCCGGAGGGGGGGGGGCATCTGCAATTGAGGACTTTCGACATATGGGGGGTTCCCCACGCCCCCAGAATGTTTCAGCTGCATGTGGCGGTTTACCAAAGTTAATTGTCCTAAGCGCCGGCGTGCTTGAGGGGCCACAGACAGGTCAGGGCATTCCGACCACTTAAGCAAGCCGACGTAATTTACACTCACAATCGTTCACGAGAGACCAAACGTGCCACCGCCCGCGCCAGCCGCCACGAGCCCGGCGAGCGCGCTGCAGACGCCGAGGCCCAGAGGGGCTGAGCGGCCTGCCCGGGCTCGCACAGCAGCACAGGCCGGACCCGCACCGGGCCTGACGTCGCGGCCACAGGAACGGCTGCCGCTGAGCTTGGGAACACAGGCCCCACGTTCTGTGACTGTCGGTAAGCTGAACAGTTAACAGTTTTTTCTGCATGTACATTAGCTTCAATAGAAAAGTTTGAAAAATAAAGTAAATGAGGGGGGAACCCTGGCTGGTGTGGCTCAGAGAATTTAGCTCTGGCCTGCGAACCGAAGGGTCACTGGTTCGGTTCCCAGTCAAGGCACACGCCTGGGTTGCAGGCCAGGTCCCCAGTACGGGTTGCTGGAGAGGCAACCACATATTGATGTTTCTCTCCCTCCCTTCCCTTCCTCTCTCTCTAAAAATAATTAAATAAAATATTTTAATAAATAAATAAAGGGGGGGAATGCAGGTCCTAGAGATAGATTGTCTGGGTTCAAATCCCAGCCTCTCCATTTTCTATGACCTTGAACGAGTTGCTTGGTTTTCCTGTGCCTCAGTTTCTGTGCAGTAAAGTGGGGCCGACAGCAGAGCCCCGTGTCCTCGGGCAGCTGGAAGACTGGGGGCGTAGCCCACACAGAGCCTTCAGAACTGCTGCCAGGCAAGAGTTAAGCCCCAGAAGAGCTGGCTGGTGTTATTCTTTCCTGGGCACCGGATAGGCCCAGCCAGCTCAGGCCCACTATTTTAGCAACTCATTTGCATAAGCAAGCTCAGACACAGCCAGTCTGTCCGCACAGCCTGCTGCACAGCTTCCTCCGATCCCTACGCCTCTCCTCTCACTTGCTGGGCAGCGCTGACCCGAGCTCTGGGCCTCCCCTTCCCCATCTGTAAAAGGAGCCGATCAACCCTGCTGATCTGCCTGAGCTCCTTGCAGCTCCACACTCCGGAATTCTAAACCCAAGCCCTACAAAGTTTGCATCGTCCTAAAACAAACGTGGGCACACAACACAGCCGTTTCCCTAAAATCCTCTCACATCCATAAAAATGTCTGTTCTGATGACAAACCTTCTCCAAGGTCTCAACAGTCCACCAGCAAGGACAGCATGCTGGGCAGGCATCCCCTGTGCTGAGGCTGAGACAGGAAGGCTCTCAGAGGCTCCAACCCAGGTGGGAGACAGACCCCCAAACCAGGTGCTCTGATAAATGGGCCCTCGCTGTCACAGAGGCCTTTGGCAGGGCACAAGCACAAGGAGGTGGAGGCACAAAGGACAGGAATTCACCTGCTGGACGGAGGGGTGGAGAAATGGAGGGGCGGAGAGGGAGATAGAGGGTGCCTGGTGGCGAGCGCTGGAGGCGGTCAGCAGAGGCAGGTGAGGCTGGGGCAGAAGGTGGAAACTGTCTCACCGCCCTGGAGCCAGCCCGGCTCTGGCCCAGGGAAACGCTAGGACCCTGAGGAGCAGACTGGGAATCCCACCTCTGCCTCTGCCTCTGCCCTGCTGGGTGCCTAGGAGCCAGTGAGTTACCTTACCTCCCTAGTGTAGTTTCCGAAAGGGTGCGTTCCCTCAATAACCCTGGGCCCGAATCCATGCCAGGTTCTCGCTAGGGCTGGGGATCATGTGGAGCCCTCAAACTCAAGGGACCTAAAAGGCTGGGGGCGCAGGGGCACCGGGGACAGAGCAGGGCGTAATAGGTTGGGAAGTCGCACTCAACTCGAGACCCGGGCTGGTCCTACCAAGATAAACAGGGCAAGAGGAAGTGTTCCGAGACTGCTAGAGGGAGAGCTGGCCCAGGCAAACCACCTCACAGTGCCCAGCGCTCAGACCCAACTGCGTGGCAACGCGCGCTCCCTAAAGGCGCCACAACAGCGAGGGGCCTCCGCGCCGCAGACACTGGCCCCCAGGAACTCCTGCACGGACAACGGTCCAAAGCACAGCTGCCATTTCCACGTCGGTGAAAACAGTGCCCTGGGCAATTTTAAGGCAAACATGGTTTCACGTGGCCCGGCAAAGATCCTGCCACTAAAGTGCCCGGTGTAGGGTCTCGGGACTAGAGCGCGCAGGGCCAGTCCCGTCTGCTTCATCACGGCCTCACCCCCTCGGCTTCCAGCCGCCGACTCCTTCCTCCAGGCAGCTCCCTGACCAGCGAGGACCGCCTGGGCAGTGTCCTCCCCACCCCCGACACACGCCGGCTGGAGCCTTCCAGCCTGGGTCACCAAGGCGCAGGGGGTCCAGGGCCGGGGATCGGGAGTCCTGACCGAGGGGCAGAGGGTGCGCGGAGGAGGACGTCTGGGCCCTAGGGACAAGGATTCCAACAAGGAAGGGTGTCAGGAGCCCCACGGGGAGGGGCGGCCCCCCACGGGGAGGCTCCAAGGGGTCGGGGACCCAGAGGTGGAAGGGTCCCGGCAGCCGGGAGGGGCAGGTCCAAGCGCCGAGCCGGCAGCCCCGCGCATCTGAAAGGACAAACTCTTCGCCAAGTTCCGGAAAAGAAGCGTGTCAGGGCGCGCGTCTCGCGGATGGGCGGAGGGGCGGTGGAGCGCCGAGTGCCGCCGGGGCCCCGCAGTGTTCCCCGAGCCCCACGGGCTCCCCAGCGCGGGACTAAGTGGAGATCGCGCGGCGAGAGGGCGTCGGACCAGGACCCGGACGCGCGCTGGCCCCCCACCCCGCCCGCCTGAGGCCGCCTCCCCGCTCGGGTCGACGCTGCAGCAGGTGGCAGCGCCACCGCACGCCTGGGGCCCCTCCCGCCCTCCGGCCCCGCCCCCGCCGCAGGCCCTCAGTACCGGAGTTAGCTTAGCTCCGACGCCATCCCGGAGCTGGCGAGCAGGCACCCCAAGTCCCGCGGGACCCGCAACTTGAGCGGCGAGAACGCAGGGAGCGCGGCCGGCAGCGGGTCCAGCGAGCAGGTGCGCGCGAGCCGCCCGCGGCCAACGGCGGAGCACGCCTTCGCCCCGCCCCGCGCGCGCTCGCCCCGCCCCCTGCCGGCCGCGGCCGCCCTTCTGCCAAAGCTGCCGCCTCCCGCCGCACCGCCGCTGCAGCTCCTAGAACTCGACGCTCGCCCTGCAGCCCTTCCTGCGACCCGCTCCCCAGCCTGCCGAGGGCCCCGCCGCGGCGTCGCCGGCCCTCTACTCTCTCGAGGGCCAAGCGGAGCCGCGAGAGGTGCCTGAGGGGATCTTCGGGTCCGCACAGCCCCGGTGGACACCCGCCTGGGGCCTCCTTACCTGGTCGGCTCCACCCGCGGCCATCTTGGAAGTGGGAAGCTGCCGGGAGGGGGAAGGGGCTCGAGCGGGCAGGGACCAGGCGTGGGGAGCCGAGCGGTGGAGCGCATCGATGGGTGCCCCTGCCTCTGGGCTGGTGTGCGGTGGTGGGGGGCGGAGGGGCCAGGTCCCCTCCTGGACGGAGGCGGGAGGTCTGTGGGGGCGAACTGCGACTACCGGCCGGAGAGGCGGAGAGGCGGCCTCCCTGCCTGGCTTTAGTCTCTTAGTCTGTAAAATGGGCTTTTCTGGTAGTTGTCCTTTACAGTACAAGCGCCTGGGGATCTTTGAAAATGCCAAAGCCCAGGCCACTCCCCAGGCCAATTACTTGGAGGGTAATGTGCAGACAAGTTTGGGGATCCCCTAGCCTAGCGTTCATGTGCATCGTTTTGCGTCAGCATTGCAGAAACGCCTGGACGGGGTCTGTGATCAAAGCCGTGTTGTGTATGGAGAGGCAGAGAAGCCTCTTGTCCAAGGTCCCCGGACCCCGGACAGTAGCTGGGAGGGGTGGGAAGCTAGGAGTCCCACGCAGACCACCCTCCAAAACCTCAAGAGGCCCTGAACGAGAAAGCTGTGGTTAGGCAGTAGCTGATCTGTTCTCCTGGATGGAGGCTTCCTGAGGCAAACCCGGCCTGTCTTGTTTCCTGCTGTGTGACCTGCGTCTGGGAAGCAGTAGGCACTTAAATATTTGTTAAATTGTCATTGTCTTCTGGAGACATCAAGTCTGGAGGAAGGACTCCGGTGGCTGGGAACTGGAAGGCCTGGGTCGCACGCTGGGCTTTGATCCTGCCACCCAGGAGCCCCAAACACTGTCACGGGCAGAATGACCCGAGAGGAAACCTCAGAGACCGGCCGGCTGAGTCCAAGGGAGGACCAGATAGCACACTGGTCAGGGGCAGGAAGGGTAATCTCTCCAGCCCAGAGAGCGTCTGGAAGCATGCAGTGGAAAGATTACTTTGTCAGGGCCGTGGTCCCGTGGGTTGGGCCAAAGAACCCTGACTTCTTCGGTCTCATGGCTCTGCAAACTCAGTAGCACCTGTTAGTCATGGTGGCCGGGGGCGAGGACTTGAGGAAGGCACACTCTTAGTAGGGTACCTGAACTCCCTCAGAGAGCTTGGTGCATACTAGGAGCTTTATAAATGCTTCCATTTCTAGGTGGAAAAATGTTTTAAAATATTAAAACTTTAAGGGAAAATAATACTAGGTATCCTCCAAACCCTAACGTGACCTCCCCAGCTTATTTGAAGAAAACACTAATGGAAAAGTACAGGCTTGCTTCAGGCCTGAATTAGCAACCTAATACATCAGTTTCATGAATCTGCTTGTACAGTGTCCGCTGCACTCCGCAAACCCCTCCCAGCCCTCGTTCTGAGTCTTAGGGTTTTAAAACCCCATGGTGAGAAGGAGCCATTGTCCTGAGCCCAGAACCCAAAGAAGTTTGTGGTCCACAGGTTGTGGTGCCCTGTTTGCCCTTTCATCGCCCTCCCCCCATCCTGTTGCCCTACACCCCCTTCCCCGGGCCCGGACCCCCTCCCTGGAGCCCATCAGTCGCTTACACCTGCAGTCACTTACGCCCGCCCATGTGTGCCCCTGTGTCAGCGGCACCCAGACGTATTCCAGACGAGTCCTCGTCACAACTGAGTAACAAAATTAGGAATATAACGAACAAGGTCAGCTGTGTGGCCCTGCACATGCACCCCACTTCTCAGGGGCTCAGTGCCTCCCTCCCTCCCTCCCTGATTCCAAGACAGGTGTCAACGGGGCAGTGTGGAAGAAAGCCAGAGACACAGGGACAGGAAAGTGTCCAAACACCCAGAGTGCCACCATGAAGGAACCTCTGCACTTGGTTGCAAGCAGCAGCAGACACACCCTCACACCGGAGCCATCCACTTGCACTTCACTCAGTTGTAACAAGCACAGTTACCGTCTCCTACCTGCACTCGGTGAAAACCCGTGACCGTGGGAGGCAGGGCTCCTGAAGGTGGCACATTGGTGACAGGGAGATGGCAGGGCCCAGCAACGGAGGGAGCAGAGGACGACAGCCCTCAGAATCCCTGCGGCCCAAAGCACTGGGGTGGCGTCCGCCCCGACGCCAGCTGACTGGTGTCACCACGGTGTTACCTACGCCCGCGAGAGGGGTGGGATGTGGAAGCGCTGCCGTAAGGGAAGGTGAGCTCAGTGCGGCTGTCTTAGAAACCCTTCAAGGAGGTGTTACATAGCACAGAGGAAACGCTTAAACTGCGAGTGACACTGAATTTTAAATAAAGGGTAAAAATGAAAGAAGGTGGAAGGCACGCCCCCTGCCCCGCCCCTAGCTGCGCGGGGACTGCAGGTCCGTGGCCATCCAGGTCTCTTCCGCGGGGTGGGGTTCCTTAAACTGGTCGAGGACAAGTCTGCTTCAAGACACACCAAGTGGAAGTTAGAAGATGGGGAGCGGTGCCCAGAAGTGCCCGGCAATCCGGGACAAAAATAAACACGATGCCCCCCAAGTACAGGGTGGTAGTGTGGGTGAGCAGGAAAGACAGCCTTTGTCAGGTCGCGCGTGCGCGCACAGGAGGAGACGGGAGAGCGTGCGCGGCGCATGCTCGGAACTCCCGAAGCGCAGCGTGGCGGGTCGGGCTGCAGCAGCCGGCCGCGGGCTTCTCAGCAGCTTCGGAACAGGCTCCGCGTGGACAAGGTCTGCGGCGGCCACGTGCAGGTGGCGGCTGCAGTGTGGAGAGCGTCGATGGCCCACCTGGTGCCTTCACCTGCTGTCCAGATGCAGGGCTGGCCAGAATGACCGCGGGGACCAGTGCTGGGGGCCCCCGACGGGAACTGGGATCGGAGGCTTGTCCGTCCCTCACGGCGCCAGCCGAGCCCGGTTACAGTCCAGAAAGCAAGGAGTTGGACGCAGAAGCGCAGTGTGGGTCCAAAGGCCACAGACGATGCAGGCCGCCCAACGGAAGGAGACGGAGAGGCTTCCAAGGACCGGCGCGCTCAGCGCGCGGGAAACAGCGCGCCTGCGCCGCGGGCGGAGGCGCGGGGCGAGAGAGCCGGGTCTACGGGGAAGCCCCAGAAAGAGGTTAACAGTGGGGCCGCCCAGCAGGTCTCTCGCCCAGAAGACAGACTGGGCAGCCCAGACGAAGGCAAGCTTGAGAACTCGGGAACGGGCTGCTGAGGGCGAATACACCAAACCACGGTTTTCTATGAAGATCTGTCAGGGAAAGACTAGTTAAATTGCCCTGGCTGGTGCAGTTCAGTAGATTGAGTGCCAGCCTGTAAACCAAAGGGTTTCCAGTTCAATTCCCAGTCAGGGCACATGCCTGGGTTGCAGGCCAGGTCCCCAGTAGGGGGCGCACGAGAGACAACCACACATCAATGTTTCTCTCCCTCTCTTTCTCTCTCCCTTCCCCTCTCTCTAAAAATAAATAAGATCTTTTAGAAAAAACTAATAAACTTATTGACCAAGTCAAATACACACACACAAACACACACATGGAATTCGCATCATCCACAGGAAAAAAAAAAAACAGGAAGAAAACACCAAAGGGAATATCAGAACACGCGTGATTACCTCCTGCCCCCACATATTTTGAGACAGACTTCCCCAGAAGGAACGTGTGCCTTATTTACAATGGAGATGTGCTGAGACTCTCACAGAGGGGTGAGTCACTGACTTTGAAGTCACGGTGGCTTGGGGCCGTGAGATGAGGGCCCGGCCCCCCGCCCTCCTCACCGGAGAGAAGCGAGGCACGCGCTGTGCCCACCGCGGGAAAGGGAGGCTCAAGCCCCAGGAGGCTGGAGCGGCGATGGATGGGTGGGGTGGGGTGGGGCGGGGTGGGGGCCCACCCTTGCTGCAGAGGCGGGGTCTGCAGGCCGTGTGGCCCACCTTTGTGAGGCCTCTCGCTGCCCGGAGGCCCCATCTCACAGGGAGCGCTTGGATCCAGGTGGGTCTGGCCCCAGATCAGGGGCCCCTCGCCCCCACAGCAGCCGGGACTGGAAGAGGCACCTTGCAACGAGGCCAGGGCAGGGCCCCCTGTGGCCTGCGGCTCCCGGGCCGTTCCCAGGTGCCCAGCGCGGGAGGCCCAAGGGCTCCAGGTGTGAAGGAGCAGAAGGAGCTGGGGGCGGGGCTCCCTGTTCCGGCACCCGGCAGTGGAATTTTCCAAACAGCCTTATTTTTTCACCCAGTTGCCTGCTGCTGCTGCTGCTGCTGCTGCTGCTGCCACTGCTGCCGCCGTCAGAAAGCGAAGCCCGATTTAGAGGCCGCAGCGACAGGTCTCACGGGGGAGGGGAGCTGGGTGAAGAGGGTGCAGAGGGCAGAGGTGGGCGGGGGCACACAGCTCCCTCCTGCACCAGGTGACCCACCGTGGGGATCGCCCCTCCACGTGTGAGGCTCCGTCCCTGGCCCGAGGTCTCTCCAGGCCCAGGGCACTCCGAACTCCCTCTCCTCCCTGCCTTCGCCCCTGTCTACTCTCTACCTGGACCTCCAGGAGCCCCTCCCTCCTTCAGTTCCTCGTTCCCTCCGGGGGCGGCTCAGAACATCGCCCCAGGTGCTCCGGCCCTCAGAACACCTTGCCCCGCTCTGTGCCACCTCTGCACCCCCAGGCTGCCACTGGGCTGCAAGCAGCCTCCGGGCCACCCCCACCAGACACCTCCTGGCCTTGTAGGGCCTCTGTGCCG